ACCCCCCCCTTGTCCCTGCACATGCTCGAGATCTCGCGAGCCCCTGTGTGAGGCGATCATCTGCTACTTCAATATGTTACGTGTGCATGCGGATATCGTTGTAGAGTCTCGGTGTGTTGGTTTTGAGTGCGCGCAGTAGTGTCGTACTTGACCCGTCCCCCACCCTTGCGTGCTCTTGGCCTTCATGTGGGCCTGATTCTGCGATGTGCGCACGCTCGAACGCGGTTCTGCTGCCCGGTTGTTCAAGCAGATACGGTAAGTTCTGGCACCTGGTGCGTTGATGGACTAATAATACTATATTAACACGCGAAACGACAAGCAGATGCGCGGTTATTCTGCGTGAGCTACTTCTGTTTTTGCTTGTTCTTGGCTGGGGAGATAGATCATCACCGCACGCTAGCAGAGCCCTCGTCTCCTTTCTGTCTTTCGCTGTTTTGGTGGTCTCCTGTCCTCTACCCGCCATTCTACCATATGGCCGTAACGTAACTCGTTTTTTTTCCGCACCGCCTTGGTGTTTACGGGTTGCCGTTTTTTTTTTTTTTTTTCCAAGTTTGTGACGAGTTTCCTGTTGGATCCATGTGTGCAGAGTCGTCTTGAGCCCCTCACCGTGCCACCCGCCCGCCACGCCTGCGTGTCATTTATTTCGCCCTTTTAACCAACCGAAACCATCCAATCAGGCTTCGACCCCCACGACGACTCTGACAACCTGAGGTGAGACCAAGTCTAGGGACAAAGTTGGCGGTAGGCAGGACAAAATCTGAAACCTCTCTTAATCCACCCGCTGGTGTGTCGCAGCCCAAGGGCGGAGGAGGTGACGAGGTGACGGCGAGGATGATGATAGGTGTGGTGGTATGTTTTCGTCGCCACGGTAACTTACCGTAGGTGCTTCGATATTTGAGCCTTTTTACACTTCTTGGCAGTTCGTTGTTCGTGGACGCGTGTCCTTCAGCCTGAGCGTATCGCTTTCTTTCGCCCGCTGCTGCTGCTGCTGCTGCTGCTGCTGCGGCGGCGGCGGCGGCGGCGGCGGCGGCGATGGCTCTTCCTCGTCTGATTTTTTTTTTTTTTTCTTGCGCTGTCGTCTCTCTTGACTCTTGTGTTGTTATTTTTGTTTTTTGGCCGCCGCCTCCACAAATGCCCCACCTGCGGCGCCTCACGCTTTGGCCGCCACCTCCACCAATGCCCCACCTGCGACGCCTCACGCTTCGCTCTGTTTGGATCAGGATCCACAACAATATCGTGTGGGACAACGGTGAGGAAACGTTTTTTTCTTTTTTATCATCCCCTTGTAGTTGTTTGTGTACGGAGTGCTTGCGGTGACCAGGGAGAGCTTTTGTTATTTACTGCAGGTCCTGAGTGTGGAATATTCCTGGATGGGTTGCATCAAAAGCGTGTACAATGCGAACCGGGTCCTGTGCTTCGTAGTGTCCTTCCTTGCTCTATCAATCTCTCAATCTATCAAAGCTATTTTCAAACCAACTACATCCGAGTCGTTATCACCTTGTTGCTGTTTTGAACGCAATGCTTTAATGATTGCGTCGTGCTTATTAGGCATACGGAGTGTGATGTTGGTTTTTTGACGTGACCTGTGCATGCGTAATGACATGCGACATGCGCTTCGTTTCGTTTCGTCTCGCCGGCTATGCGTACCGGCCTACAAGAACGAGCTATGATAATGACGTCCTTTTTTACACTGCATTTTCGAGTTCAAAAATCTCAAGTATATTTTGTCCACGTTCCCCTTTATTTCTGCATGTTCGCCTTTTAAATCTCTGCGTGTTCGCCTCGTACATCTCTGCATGTTTGCCTTTATATTTGCGTGTTGCCTATTAAAATCTGGATTATGCTCCGTATATTCGCCCCCCTCCCGCTGTTTTGCTCTTCTTTCTGCCACAGGGGATCACGGTATCATCGCTTCGAAGCGGTGCAACCACGTCTCTATCCAGAATAACGTAGTGTACGACAACACCAACGCTGGCATCATGCTCCACCGCTCCAGCGACTACGCCACCGTTCGCAACAACACGGTGTCGGGCAGCGGCGACGCCTGCATTGCCATATTCGAGTCCATGGGTGAGCGAGAGGCAGACTGGCAGACAGTCAGGGAAAGCTGACGGACGGTCGTGGCTCACCACGCTTCTCCTTGCCTCCGCATGCGTCCCGACGGTGATGACACCATTGCAGTCCACACCAAGTCTTGCGATTGCTGTCTTGCTCGACCCCTCTCTTGTCTTGCTCACTACATACAACGTGTCTTTTCCTTCACTATTAAAGTGTTTTTTGCTGCTGTTGTTTTTTTCGTGTCTTTTGACCTGGTGCTTTCTGCAGAGGGCGACCTTGTCCCCCCTGACTTAAACCGCTTCCCCCCGCCTTTTTTTTTTTTTGTGTGTGTCGTGTTTTTTTTTTTTTTTGCAGAGGGTGACTACAGCAACAACAAGTGCACCGACAACAAGTACGGCTTCCGCTGGTCCGTGGGGGCCTCGCATAACAAGATCTACAACAACGAGGTCTACGATAGCCAGCAGTGTGAGTCTCTTCGTGACGACCCTCGTTTTCACAGGTGGCAAGAGGCAGCGAGCGGTACGGTGGAGGGCTTGAGAGGGGCGACAGGAGGGGGGCTCGGCGGATTCAACGGCGGGGGTCGGGGGGGGGGGGAGTCTTGGCGTTTTCAGTCGTGCTTCGCTAGCCTTTCAGTCGCTACGCCCCCCGGTGTTGGAGGACGCACGTGAGAGGGGCCTGTTGACGTGGGTGCTACCGCTGCTGCTGCCCCCGGTGCATGCGTTAACCTTCCTAGGGACAGCACACAGCAGTTGGCCTTACCACAAAGAGCGTAGATCACCCACTCCGTGGAACTTGCGTGCTTTTCCCCCAGAGGCCACAAGACGTGTCTTGTCGGTAGCCACGGTCTGCATCTGTGACTACAAGCAGTCTTGATGTCGGCAGGACACCTGTACCGGTAGCTGTGTACTGTACCTTCCTCCCCCCCACCCCCCATTACCCATCGTGTGAGACGAAACGTTGGGTGCGCCGTAACTAGAAGTCCAAATGAACAATCATTTTCGGTTGAGAAAGGCGTGAGAGGCCGTGCGCTATAATCTTACCAAGCTGGGATTCCCACGGTTGCACGTTTTGCTATTCGTCACTATTTTTTTTACAAGCACCTTTTGTTTGTTGTTCGTTCCATGCTTCAGACGGGATTTACATGTACGAGGGAAGCGACCTGCCGTACGTCTCCGACGGGCTTCCCTCCTACAACCTCATCGCGAACAACATCATTGATACCGCCACCGAAGGCATCAAGATGGGCAACACCGTGGGCAACGAGTTCATGGGCAACGTGAGTGCTAGTGCATACCATGTGTATTACGAGATACTGCGACTAAATATGTAATTTGAATTTTGGGAGAGACTTAAGTCTTTTGTGGGTTCGACCCGCGGAAGAAAATCCGCCTCCACGGCCATACCGACGAGTGAAAGTTGTGGCCTTGGAAATACCGTGTAGTTTGTGGCTTGGCAGACGAGTCAGGATGTAGCTGAGGTAGGGGTTGCCTGCCCACCACGACGGTTGTTGCTGAACTTTTTTTTTTTTCTTCGGTTCCCCCCGGTATTTATCGTGGAAACCGTCCCCACCCGTTTGTTTCATGTGTATCTCCAAGAAGGCCTTCGGGTTCCCATGCAAATCATGTGGTCTCCGGGACGGCTTGATTTCCGCCAAGACGGCTAAAGCAGCTACATATTGTCGACCTTTTTCAACAGCGAATTGTTTGACAAGCGTTTTTTATATATTTTTTCGTCCCGTCTGCTCATGTATGCGGCTTGGCGCTTACGTACGTACGTCCCGTCCCCCGTCCCCATTGCCCCTCTTTCTCCGGAGGCAGGTGATCACAAACACGGCCGACCTGCGTTTCCGTAACTCCTCCGGGGTCATCTGGAAGGTGCGTTCTTGGTCGGCCTTTCCCCTTGGGCAATACTCGCACAACGGCTGTGTTGTAGTGGTTGTGAGGGTGGGAAGTTGAGTGTACGTGTATTTGTTTACGTACCCCACGCCCTTGATGTTTTTGGTGCGCGTCGGAAGTGTTGATGTTTTTGGTGCGCGTCGGAAGTGCAAGCGTAAGGATTATTGGTTGTGGAGCCGCATGACGCATCATCAATGCCCACGGTGTGTGAGCCTTGACAGTTTTGTCTAAAAGGAGGGCTGTATTGGCTTGTCACTTCACCTAATGTTCGCGTGGAAGAAACGCTCGAAGCCCCTTTACTCTTGTATGGAGCAGGGAGTGCGTGGTCAGCAGACGGTTGCAGCTGCGGGGGGCTTGTCTCCAAGGGCGCCTCGAGGAGCGCAGCACGTGAAATAACGTGTAGACCAGGAAACCCCTTGCCCAACCGCAACCGCGCGTGCACCGTCTGGTCTGCAGTCTGTTGTGAAGGACTATTGCTTTGTTCTGTGTCTTTCAAGCCCCCCACCGTGCATGCTGATTGGCCTCTCTCTCTCTTTGCCTCTGTAAAACCTCTTTCACCCACCACCATGTACACCGTGCACAAGCCTCTCTCTAACGCTCTCAATTTTTTGTTTTCTTGGATCGATTTCTTGTTTTTTTCGCAAATCCTCGGCTTCGCGTCCACAGGACAACGACATCCCAGTGGGGGTTGACATCGACCCGGAAGGTTCTTGCTTCACCTCCGACTCCGACATTGCCCAGCTCGGGGAGGAGGCCATAGTCTGCTAAAGAATCGCGGAACCGTCGCCGAATCATGGAAAATGAGAACACAACCCTAACAAGTAGAGTTTGGTGACCACCCAAAGCAGTGCGGAATAGATTTTTATTGTTCCAGGCGTGCGCTTAAAGGGCGACAACATCGTCTGGGTTTTTTTTACGCGAGGCCGCCATGATGGTGGTGGCACCAGCAGCGTACAATAGGCTGAACCACTGTAGCATATTACCCTTACTCCTATTGGTTAACGTGTGGAGGGGGGAGGGTGGGGGTTAGTCGGTCCTTGGCTTCCGGGCGGGCGTTGTCTTGTGGTAGTGAATTTTCCGTCGTTGTCTCTCTCATCCCCGTGCCATCTCGTGACACTCCTTGATTGATTGCATCAGCAATGAAAATGTGACCGCGTTTTTTTTTTTTTTTCGACCTAGGCAGAGACCCCCGAGACGCAAAAAATGGAGCAGAAATCTGCTTTGGAGGGAAGGGGGGAGGGGGGGGGGGGGGGGGGGGGCCAAAAGGGGGGCCCCCTCCTTGGGGGGGAAAAATTTTTTGGGGGGGGGGGGGGGGGGGGGAAAATTGGGACTTTTCTAAAAAATTTGGGCACCTTTTCCGGGGGGGCCCCCCCGAGGGGGGGGGGCCCTTTTTTGGTTAAAAACAAAAAAAAAAAACCC